AGAAAATGAAAAACAAAAGACTTGCTTCAACCTACTCCAACAATCATGTCTTACAGCTATTTTATCACTGACAAGCCAGTGCAATGGTTGTCTGCAGCATGACTCTCTCCAAAGACAAGCAGTTGTTGAATTTCTCATACAACGGAGGGCAGTCGGATTGTGTATGCACATCTGACTGCCCACTAATGTCTAGAGCAGCTTTTTACCTCTAGTCATTGTCAAACAAAATCACAAATGAACATCTCAAATTCAACTAGTAACTACCCCTCTGATGCTTATTTGTAACACAAGAATCTCAAAGCTGCATACTGCAACTGTCAAATGGTATAGAAGTTAGAGATCTTACTGTTACGAGATAAATATACAATCTACATTTTAGGAATTTAGGAGGATTTATTTATTACATTTCTATTTTGAAGACTCAAGTAGCCAGCAGTTAAAACCCAGCTTCTACTTTACTATAATTGTATTGCAAGATAAACCAGAAGACAAACTCAGACAGGGATTTATCAAGCAAGCTTCTGACAAACTTGCAACACTTATCTAGTGCAATCAGACAGACTTTCATTTAGCAAAAGATTTGTGACAGGTTTTGAGAAGGTTTGCATCCCCTGGACCTCCAATCCTGGACAGTCAATCGTGACAGTTTTGCAAACCGCAACAGATTTATGATTGTACTGGCAATGGTTTTTCAATTAAAGCACACACACATCCAAGAAGTGGTCAGGGACAGGTTATAAATTGACACAGGGCTACCTTTGAGCAGCAGAGATTTATAAATCAAGATTTGATCTTACAACTAACAAAATGTATCAATGTATCACTGGTCACAGTGTGTGCTGGCTTGTTCTGCTGTAATGTTAGCAAATCTCTTCCAAATAATATTAATGAATTAGCTGTTTTCAGTCCTAATTCCAAAAATGGTGACTATTTGTATAAGAAAGCTATATGTTAATAGAGCATAAAAGGCTCCATTTACACATGAGCCGATTTCTGCGCGAATATGCGCAGAACCGCTCTAAACATTAAAAAAAAAGTTTTGTTGTCCATTGCTTAGACTACTGTTGGGGCTGCATGGTTTTGTGCGGCAAAATAGTCCAAGTGTGATTTCAGGGGCAGATTCTGCTCGTTCGTGACTATAGTATAGTAATAGCCGCAAACGAGCAGAATACATGTAGTTGTATAGATTTTAGCATTTTCATGCCGTGCTGTCTTCCTCACGGGAAACGGAAACGCTATATGTGAATGGAGGCTAAAAGGTACAACTCGTATACAAACCTGTATGGCTGTTTCCACAAACCGAGTAAAGGTGCCCATACACCTGCCGATTATCGTACGATAATCGCGGGTGATCCCGCGATCATTCGATAATCGGCAGGCGTATGGGCAGCGTGCGACCGCTTCTACTGTAAGCTCG